AGGCAACACCAGAGGCACTCCAAGTGGCCAGATACTGGTCAAAGGACATTTAATCAACTACCAAGTTTGCAAAATTTGTGCTTTTTTTATCTGTTTGTTGGTTTTGTTCTGTTAGAAATGTAATACAATGGTATGGTTGCTGATGACACGATAAATAAATAAATAAATAATAGAAGGAATAGATTATTATTATTATTATTATTATTATTATTATTATTATTATACAATATTTTAAAACACTACCATATATACGAGTAAAGCCGACCCGAAATATAAGCCGAGGCACCTAATTTTACCACAAAAACTGGGAAAATGTATTGACTTGAGTATAAGTCAAGGGTGGGAAATGCAGCAGCTACTGGTCAATTTCAAAATAAAAATAGATACCAATAAAATTACATTAACTGAGGCATCAGTAGGTTTAATGTTTTTTTAATATTTATATAAAACTGTAATTTAAGATAAGACTGTCCAACCATTATTCTAACCTTCTTCATGTAAATGTGCCTATGTATCCTTCCAATAATTAAGGGAGTAAAATAATAAATGCAATAAAAATAATAATAATAGAGTAAAATAATGTAAATGTAAAATAATACGTAATAACAGAGTAAAATAATAAATGTAATAATAATAATAATAATAAGAGTAAAATAATAAATGCAATAAAAATAATGGAAATAATAATAATAATAATAATAATAATAATGGAAATGTAAAAAAATACATAATAACAGAGAAAAATAATAAATGTAATAATAATAATAATAATAGTAAAATAATAAATGCAATAAAAATAATGGAAATAATAATAATAATAATAATAATAATAATGGAAATGTAAAAAAATACGTAATAACAGAGTAAATAAATGTAATAATAATAATAAGAGTAAAATAATAAATGCAATAAAAATAATGTAAATAATGGAAATAATAATAATAATAATGGAAATGTAAAAAAATACGTAATAACAGAGAAAAATAATAAATGTAATAATAATAATAATAGTAAAATAATAAATGCAATAGAAATAATAACAGTAGAGTAAAATAATGAAAGCGAGGAGGAGCTGAGGAGCCTTCTAATCAAGGTGAAAGAAGAAAGTGCAAAAGCTGGGTTGCAGCTAAACGTCAAAAAAACCAAGATTATGGCAACAAGAATGATTGACAACTGGAAAATAGAGGGAGAAAATGTGAATGCCGTGACAGACTTTGTATTTCTAGGCGCAAAGATGACTGTAGATGCAGACTGTGGCCAGGAAATCAGAAGACGCTTCCTTCTTGGGAGGAGAGCAATGTCCAGTCTCGATAAAATAGTAAAGAGTAGAGACATCAGACTGGCAACAAAGATCCATTGCCTAGTCAAAGCCATGGTCTTCCCTGTAGTCACCTACGGATGTGAGAGCGGGACCTTAGGGAAGGCTGAGCGAAGGAAGAGAGATGCTTTTGAGCTGTGGTGTTGGAGGAAAGTGCTGAGAGTGCCTTGGACTGCGAGAAGATCCAACCAGTCCATCCTCCAGGAAATAAAGCCCGGCTGCTCACTGGAGGGAAGGAGACTAGAGTCCAAGATGAAGTACTTTGGCCACGTCATGAGGAGACAGCAAAGCCTAGAGAAGGGAATGATGCTGGGGAAAGTGGAAGGTAAAAGGAAGAGGGGCCGACCAAGGGCAAGATGGATGGATGGCATCCTTGAAATGACTGGCTTGACCTTGAAGGAGCTGGGGGTGATGATGGCCGACAGGGAGCTCTGGCGTGGGCTGGTCCATGAGGTCACGAAGAGTCGGAGACGACTGAACGAATGAACAACAACAACAAAAAATAATGTAGAAACAACAACAACAATAATAACAACAACAACAACAGAGTAAAATAATAAATAACCTTGACTTGAGTATAAGCTGAGGGGGACTTTTTCAGACTAAAAAAGGAGCTGAAAAACTAGGCTTATACTCAAGTATATTATATATATGAGAGAATGATATTAACACTCACTTTGATGGATGGAATCATGCCTGGCTGCAGACATCACATAGGACTAAGTCTACAAGGTATGGAATTTCTAGTATTTCTTCACTTGAGCCCTACAAGAGTATTTGAAGTTTTGCTACTTGTCATATTGAGTTTTCTTTCTTTCTTCCTCTTCTTAATAGTCAAAAACTGATTGGGGACAAAAGCTCTCTTAACACATATATTGCTGTGCAAATTTTGACAAGCTGGAATGTGTCCAGAGGAGGGTGGCTAAAATGATCAAGGGATTGGAGAACAAGCCCTATGAGGAGTGGCTTAAAGAGCTGGGCATGTTTAGCCTGAAGAAGAGAAGGCTGAGAGGAGATATGGTAGCCATGTATAAATATGTGAGAGGAAGCCACAGGGAGGAGGAGGGAGCAAGCTTGTTTTCTTCTGCCCTGGAGACTAGGACGCAAGGGAACAATGGCTTCAAACTACAAGAAAGGAGATTCCATCTGAACATTAGGAAGAACTTTCTAATGGTGAGAGCGGTTCAGCAGTGGAACTCTCTGCCCCGGAGTGTAATGGGGGCTTCTTCTTTGGAGGCTTTTAAACAGAGGCTGGATGACCATCTGTCGAGGGTGCTTTGAATGCAATTTTCCTGCTTCTTGGCAGAATGGGGTTGGACTGGATGGCCACTCAGAACAAATGCTTCATCTCATATGAGCAATGTGTTGTTTGGCTTTGGTGTTTCAATATTACGGAAAACCTGATTCTGTATCCCCAAAGTCTTCTATGGACAGGGTATTTTTTCATTATGCTTCAATAAAATGAAATTGTCACTAGAACTAGAAAAAAAAATTCCAATTGATCTGTCCAGATGAAGGAAAAAAAGAGTAATACTTCTGCTTACTAAAGGTAACAATGTGATTTTCTGGATCTGTTTTCTCATGTTGTCTCTCATCATTGAGGTCTACCTATGATGTCAATTGTAGGTCTCTCTCATCTTTTTAAGTGGGAGAACTTGTACAATTGGTATCTGATTAAATAGTCGTCGTCCCCACCCCCAACTGTATCAGAATGTATGGCCAAACCTTTTTTCCTAATTCTATATGAAATATATAGGAATTATTCCAAGTCTCAATCCCCTAGTCACACTCAGAAAAGGGAGAACATCAGAAGGTGAGCATCACTTAAACGTAATAGAATATTTGCCACTTGGGAACAAGAATTCAACTTGCTAAGAAGCTGTCTTTATAGCAATAGCAATAAAGTAAGATTAGTAATGCATTTATTACAATAGCCCCAACTGTCGCTTAAAATAAAGGAGCTTACGCATCAGGCCGGAGTCCGTTGCAGAGGTCTCTGATGTACTGCTTCCATAATTCGTGCAATGGGACAAATATCTCATACCTGCACAAGAAGGCAAAGATTAGGTTCCTATTCAATAGCAACCGTTATCTCAAAGAATGTGCCTAGCATATTCAGGATTAATTAGGAAACTTTTTTTTTGCTCCTTCAACACTCTATATAAATAAAAATGTAATGTTTGTTTGTGGGATTAACACAACTCAAAAACCACTGGACGAATTGACACCAAATTTGGACACAAGACACCTCTCAGGCCAAAGAGTGACCAGCACTCATAAGAACACTGAAAAACACAGCAGAAGGACTTAACCAAAAAAAAAACATTACAACGCATGCGCAAAACCACATATATATATACACAAACACATATATATACACACATATATGCATACACATACACATAAAACACATACACAGAAAGGACGAAGGAAGGGAGAGAAGGAGGAATGGAAGGAGAGCAGGAAGGAAAGAAGGGTAGAGAAGGAAGGAGGGAGAGAAGAAGGGAAAGAAGGAGGGAAGGAGAGAAAGAAGGAAAAAGAAAGGTAGAGAAGGAAGGAGGGAGAGAAAGAGGAGAAAAGAAGAGAGAAAAGAAGGAGGGAAGGAAGGAAAAAAGAAGAGTAGAGAAGGAAGGGAGGAGAGAAGGAGGAAAAGAAAGAGGGAAGGAAAGAAGGAAGGGAAAGAAAGAAGGGTAGAGAAGGAAGGAAGGAAAGAAGGAGGGAAGGAGATAAAGAAGGAAAGACAGAAGGGTAGAGAAGGAAGGAAGAGGGAGAGAATGAAATAAAAAAGTGAAAGAGGGAAGGAAGGAGAGAAGGAACGAAAGAGAGAAAGAGGGAGGGAAGGAAGGAGACAAGGAAGGATGGAACCAAAGAGACAGAAGGAAGGAAGGAAAGAGGTAGAGAAGGAAGAAGAAAGAGAGAGGGAAAGAAAGAAGGAAAGGGAGAAGGAAACATGGAAGCCAAGACAGAAAGAAGGAGGGAAACATATATTACTTTATTTTCCAGATCACCAGACTGGGCCACAGCAACGCGTGGCAGGGGACGGCTAGTCTATATAAATAAAAATGTAATGTTTGTTTGTGGGATTAACACAACTCAAAAACCACTGGACAAACTGACACCAAATTTGGACACAATACACCTCTCAGGACAACGAGTGACCATCACTCATAAAAACACCAAAAACACAGCAAAGGAGACTTAAAAAGCCAAAAAAGCAAAAAAGAACAAAAAACGCTACAGCGCATGTGCAAAAACATCTCCCTTGGCAAACAAAACACACAATAGCATATCAACACTCTCTTCCAGACTACAGCTCCCAGCATCCCCAAGACTAGGCCCTTTAGGAGAGGAAGATGATGCAAAAGTACTGTTTCCAAGCTGCAAGCTTTCTTCCCCTTGGATTTCGTTGAGAGCATCCCAATCCCTGCATAATTCCAATTTCCAATTTCTGGACTGCAACTCCTAGCAATCCTCCAGTTAGATAGATTAGATAGAGATAGGTAGGTAGATAGATCAATCAGGACTGCTGGGAGTTGCAGTCCAAGAATAGGTAGAGAAGGGAGAAAGGGGGGGAAGAGAATGGGAAAGAAAAGGAGGGAAGGAAGGGAAGAGGAAGAGAAGGAAGGAAGGAAAGAATGAAAGAAGGAAGAGAAAGAGGGAAGGAAGGTTGGCCACAGGAACACGTGGCAGGTACAGCTAGTAGTTTTATAAATGTGAAAATAAACACTTCGAGATATCAATCCAATAGTCCAGACAGTGGATTTCCGATTTGAAATGACTTTCACTAGGGCTGGGCGGTTTCGTTTCGTTAATTTGTAATTCGTTAATAATTCGTTAATTTTTTCAATTACAAAACGATAACGAACCATTCTGGAGCAATTTTTTTAAAAAAACGAATTTTTAAATAGTTTCGTAAATGCTTCGTATTCCGTTATTGTATTCGTTTCGTTATTGTTTTGAGGTCGTTTCGTTATTATTTCCGCATGTCTGGGGCAAGTTTTATGGTTGTTTTTTGTTTAATTAGTGAAAAAAAATTATAATATCACACCAACAGTCAACAACAGAGGGAGAGGGAAGCTTCAGAAGTTTTTGGAGGTTTTTTAGCGTATTTCGCGGTCGCGTCCGCCATTAACGAATCGATTCGTTATTGTTTCGGAAATTGATTCGTTAATGTTTTGTAATTTTTTCACATTTACGAAATTTCGTAAATATCGAACTTTTTTAAAGGAAAATTTTGTAATTATTTTAAATAACAAAACGCAAAAAACCCCAAAAAACGAATTGATTTTAGAAACAAATTTTTCCGTTGTTACCCAGGCCTAACTTTCACAGCTTATATTTTACAATCCAGGATTTCCACAACAAGATCATCGGATGCCCTCTAGTGGCCAAGCATCATCCATCCATCCCAGAATCATTTGAAACTCCCAAGCTGATACTTGGAATAGTCGTTTTATACAAATTTTGGATATTAGTAGAGCATGAAAATAGCATTTTAAAAAACAATTAACTCCTCAGGCGCATGGCCAATGGGAATTCGGGACTCCTGGTCTTTAAAAAAGACTGCTTTCTGCCTGGGGGAATCCTATGTCGGGAGGTGATTAGTTGGCCCTGATTGTTTCTTGTTTTTGCACCCCAGGACAGGAAAAGCCCTTTGACTTTAAACACCACACCGTTGGATGGGAAACAATCCTTTTATTGAAGATAATTAAAAAACAATACGGTAAAAAACAGTTTAAAGAAATAGGTAAATCCAGTTAGGTAGGAAGATAAGCAGGAACAAAGTCGTCCAGGGTAATAGTCCAGCAAAGCCCATAAAAACAAAGGCAAAACTTCCCGTTTAAAATGCAAGAAATCAGGAAACATGAATCCAAGGCATGAATATAGAGCATAAAATCCAAGAATCAAAACATGAATTTCCCAAGCAAAACTTCCATGAACAAGAACGAGATCTTGAGTTGATTCCAAACGATGCTTCATCTGACTACATATCCTACATTTGGGATTTTTATCTCCTTATTAGCTAAGTCTCTAGCATTCAGAAATTGGTTTCATTTTAACTGAGAACTTCTTATCCTTTTCCCTCAAAGCCTGGCACACTGCTGAAGCCACTGCTCGGCTCTTCTGTTTTGACTTATCTCCTCCCATCTATCTATTTGCTCATTCTCCATTTGCTCATTAATTTCTGCAGCTGGGCCAAGTGCCGAGCTGTTTTCATGTTCCCTATTATGGGAACTCTCTGGTAACAATTCAGAAAGCACACCATCATCCCCACACCCCTCAGGGACATTCGCATGAGAAACTACACTTTGCACAGGGATCTCCTGGTCATTCTCTGCGTGACCGCATCTCCGTATACGAACCCACACGATCTCTCCGATCATCTGGAGAAGCCCTACTCATGATCCCATCATGGTGGGGATGAGGGACACGGCCTTCTCTGTGGTGCCCCCCCCCCGACTCTGGAACTCTCTCTCCAAGGACATCAGACAAGCCCCAACGTTGGCTGTCTTTAGGAAGAGCTTAAAGACGTGGTTGTTCCAGTGTGCCTTCCTAGAATAGGAAACTCCAAGCATCATGTCCCAAATGCACTTTACTAGAGATTTAAGATAGTCTGCACACCGCACTAATCTCCAAAAACCTATTCATTTCTCCTGCCATGCCCAGCATTTCTAAAATTTTTAATCATTACATTTGGCCCGGCCTTAGTTTTAAATGCGTCGTGGTGTTATTGTCTAATGTTTATTGCTTTGTTTTATGAGTTTATTTATTGTTGTATTTGTTATGCTGTTGTATTATTGATGTGTTGGGCCTCGGCCTCTTGTCAGCCGCACCGAGTCCTTCGGGACATGTTAGCGGGGTTTAAATAAAGGATTATTATTATTATTATTATTATTATTATTATTATTATTATTATATCACTGACCAAACCATTGCCATCTTGAAACTCATTGACATCACTCCCCACATCCAAAGCACCCTGATCCTGAAACTCAATCACAGGCTGAGCTCCAACACTTGTCTGGAATTTCTGTTTTTGAGTGTTGTTCTTTATTCACTATACTGATTTTAGAGTTTTTTTTAAATACTGGTAGCCAGATTTAAGTATTAAAGTCCTCCTGTTAGGAATTGTGGGAGTTAAAAACACCTAGAGGGAGGGACGAAGTTGGCCCATGCCTGCTTTACATCATAACAACACTAATGTTTCCATTCTGATAAACTTAGCACAATTAACATACTTCTGTTGCACAATTAACATACTTCTGTTGCACAATTAACATACTTCTGTTGCACAATTAACATACTTCTGTTGCTCCGGTTTGATCTCAAAGAGGCGCATCTCCCTCCTCTCTTTGGCAGACAGCCCTTTTCCTCTCTTCTTCTTCTGCCTCTTCCTCCGCTTGTGGAAATGCTCCAGGACCACGGCTTTGTAGGTCAGGTGCTCTTCGATGGCTTCATCACTCTTTCCGGGCAAACTCCGCTTCAGGAAGGTTTTCACAAAGGCCTCAGCCTCCTTCGAGCCTTCAGGCTGCAAAAGATACACAATGGGGGACGATGAGGCCTGGCTCGAGAGCAGTACGTGTGAAAAAGATCTTGGAGTCCTCGTGGACAACAAGTTAAACATGAGCCAACAATGTGATGTGGCGGCAAAAAAAGCCAATGGGATTTTGGCCTGCATCAATAGGAGCATAGTGTCTAGGTCCAGGGAAGTCATGCTCCCCATGCTCTATTCTGCTTTGGTTAGACCACACCTGGAATATTGTGTCCAGTTCTGGGCACCACAATTAAAGAGAGATATTGACCCTAAGCTGGAATGTGTCCAGAGGAGGGCGACTAAAATGATCAAGGGTCTGGAGAACAAGCCCTATGAGGAGCGGCTTAAGGAGCTGGGCATGTTTAGTCTGAAGAAGAGAAGGCTGAGAGGAGATATGACAGCCATGTATAACTATGTGAGAGGAAGTCATAGAGAGGAGGGAACAAGCTTGTTTTCTGCTGCCCTGGAGACTAGGACCCAATGGAACAATGGCTTCAAAATACAGGAAAGATTCCATCTGAACATGAGGAAGAACTTCCTGACTGTGAGAGCTGTTCAGCAGTGGAATTCTCCGCCCTGCAGTGTGGTGGAGGCTCCTTCTTTGGACGCTTTTAAACAGAGGCTGGATGGCCATCTGTCAGGGGTGATTTGAATACGATATTCCTGCTTCTTGGCAGAATGGGGTTGGACTAGATGGCCCAGGAGGTCTCTTCCAACTCTTTGATTCTATGAAAAGGAGGTCATTAGTAATACAAAGAGGCATGGCTGAGGGTACCCCATTTTCCTCTAGAGCAGTGGTTCCCAAACTTTGGGCCTCCAGGTATTCTGGACTTCAACTCCCAGAATTCCCACCCATCTTACCAGCTGTTAGGAACTGTGGGAGCAGAAGTCCAAAACACTTGGAGACCCAAAGGTTGGGAACCAGTGCTTTAGAAGGTCTCGGAGGCATTGAGAGTCATATGGACTGAACTTGAGACAGAGATCTCCCAGGTTCTCAGACCCACAATCTATAAACCCTTTGAGTGGTGGAACCTGCAAACCCACCTGCATGGTTTCAGAAGATGGGTTCGGAGGAAGATAGAAGAATGGGAGAAACTGGGTCCATTAAGACTTCCGAGGCTCCTTCTACACTGCCATACAATCCAGATTATCAAAGCAGATAATACACATTATCTCCCCTGAAATGGATTAGATGAGTCTACAATGTAATATATTCCAGATTATCAAATCAAATAATCCAGATTTTATATGGAAGCGTAAAAAGGATCTCAGTCTCACACAGTGTGTGTAAATGTAATTTAATATTATTAGGATGAACTACAGTCTTTGAATGTTGATTTTTTTAGGAAACCAAGGAAATAACCCTCTGTCTTAATCATGCAGATCAATAATAATAATAATAATAATAATAATAATAATAATAATACGACAGAGGGGCACAGAATAATAATAATAATAATAATAAGAAGAAGCAGAAGAAGAAGAAGAAGAAGAAGACAGAGGGGAGCAGAAGACATTTCCATCTTGACTTTACTAGTAATATAATATAATATATTATATATACATATAATATTTATAATATTATAATATAATATTTATTTATTTACTTTGCTTATATACCGCTGTATCTCAAGCCCGAAGGCGACTCACAGCAGTTCACA